GGGGCTCGATCCCAGGACCCTGGGATCATGACCTGAGCCGAAGGCAGATGCTTAACGACTGAGCCACCCAGGCGCCCCTAGCCTGTTTAGCTTTTGTCCTTTTTACAACTGTAAGATAACTTCTTGAAGGTCTTAATTACTCTTTTCGAACATTTCCATTGTATATTTTTCTAGGCAGCTCCAGGACTGTGTGTGTGTGTGTGTGTGTGTGTGTACGTGTGTGTACATAGCACTGAAGATGACTGAAGGAAGACTGTAGGGAAGGGCTAAGCCAGGTACATGCTCTATATAGGACACAGATTTTCTTCAGCTGTTTCATGAACTTTACCACTAGATGGTGATAGAGGGCTAGGGGGTATGTTAAATAATTCTGCATCTACCATATGCTTGTAGTATGCTGAAATTTGAAAATGTTTGATCCTAACAAATATTTGCTTTTAGAATTCACTTCAGGATATTGAAATATTATTTTACTTTTCATCATGATAAAGTGTACTCTTTAATCCCCGTTCCTTATTTCCTCCGCAATCGCCCCCCACCCTCCCTTCCTTCTGGTAGCCCTCTGTTTGTTCTCTAGAGTTGTCTGTTTCTTGGTTTAGCTCTCTCTCTCTCTCTCTCTCTATTTTCTCTTTGCTCATTTGTTTTGTTTCTTAAATTCCACGTATGTGAGATCATATGGTATCTGTCTTTCTCTGACTTACTTCTCTTAGTATTATACTCTAGCTCCATCCATCTTTTTTCAAATGGCAAGATTTCATTCTTTTTAATGGCTGATTAATATTTCATCATGTATATGTACCACATCTTCTTTATCCATCTATTGATGGACACTTGGGCTGCTCCCATAATTTGGCTATGGTAAACAATGCCAATAAACATAAGGGTGCATGTATCCCTTTGAATTAGTCTTTTGTATTCTTTGGGTAAATAGTAGTACAATTCCTGGATCATAGGGTAGTTCTATTTTTAATTTTTTAAGGAAACTCTGTACTCTTTTTCACAGTGGCTGCACCAGTTTGTATTCCCACCAACAGTGCAAGAGGGTTCCTTTTTCTCCACATCCTCACCAACACTGGTTGTTTCTTGTGTTTTTGATTTTTGCCATTCTGACGTGTGAGATGATCTCACTGTAGTTTTGATTTGCATTTCCCTGATGATGAGTGATGTTGAGCACCTTTTCAATTGAAAGACTATTTTAAATACCCTGTTGCACATAATTTTTTTTTTTTAACATGGTATGTCCCTCATAAGGATTTATTAATTTCTTAGCTGTTGTATTAATGGTGTTTAGTCTGGGGAAAAAGCAGGTCTTATAAAATTTAAGTGATCCCCAAACTTTATTTTGTCTTTGTTTTCTTATTTTCTTTCCATAATATATCACATTTCTTTATTTTTTCCTAGTAGGTCAGATTTCCTCATAGTGATCATAAATTTCTTTCTGTTTAGGCTGTGTTCTTTTTGGCACATGTGGGTGTGCACATGCACAAACACAATTTTGCCTTAGCTATTTAATATAAATTTATGGATTTTCATAGTGACTATTCCCTTGATGCTTTCATTGAGAAACAAAATACTGGTATACTGTATGGAAATGAGAATAGAGTGGTGTAAATGGTATAATGAATATAACAGAGTAGTAAAGCACACACCAGAAGATTTTCTACAAGATCAGTTTCTTTGAATTTAAGTTTTAGGAAAAATAGAAAAATTTCTTTTCAAAAATTCTTTGAATATGTTTATCTGCATAAAAGGAAGAATAACTATGTTATTTATTGCTGTATGAGAGGATCCTGAAATACTGAATATAATCCAGAAAGTTTATGTAAGAAATTTTAGATTTCAACTTATTTTCAGATTATCAATAAATTTTTAAAAATTTATTAGCAAGAGAGAGAGAGCGAGAGAGGAGAGGGAACATACGATTGTGGGGAAGGGCAGAGGGAGAGAGAGAATCTCAAGAAGACTCCCTGTTGAGAGTGGAGCCCAGCATGGGGCTCAGTCTCACCACCCATTAGATTATGACCTGAACTGAAATCTCGAGTTCAGACACTCAACCAACTCAGCCATTTTGTGCCCCCAGGTTATCAATTAATTTTTTGAAAATAGCCAAAAGAGAATTCTTGTTTTTCTTCAATATTAATATCATATTTTGTATTAACTTCTGATACTAGCACAATATTTAGTATCATTCCTGTAGATATTTATCTTACTAATGTAGATGATTCATTCTTGGTTGTCCTGCAGAAGTATTTTTTGTGACTACAATGTGGGGATTGGTGTAAAATACAAATATTATGATTTTGATGTTTTTTTTGTAACATGACTTTTTTTTTTTGGTAACATGACTTTTTAAGAAATTGGGATAATGCTCTCTTCCAGTTTATTTCCCTAATCCAGTGTGTTAAGATGTTCCATTGATTTACTAATATCATTTTAGAGAATAAAACCACCATCACATTAAATGTGCCCACTAGCTAACTATACATCAGTCTAATTTTAGAAACATTAAAATGGGATTGAAAATATTTTAAAGTCCCCTTAGAATTGAGGCCTGAATTTAGAGGATTAAATGAGGTCTAAGGTGGAGAAGTGTTTGTTAATTCTGGAGTGCTAAGTGGAGCCATTTGATGCTATTAAAGATGCTATGTTCTTAGTTTTTTGGAGGGTCCTATGGTGACTATGCATTTAACAGCATATACCTACACAATGAAGTGGGTAGTATCATTTTGAGATTTTTGACTGGGAGCTGTGACATAGTAGAGAGAAATAGGGAATGGAGAGGATAAGACATATTATTCCGAGAATATTTTCCCAGCCACACTGTTGGTTCTTCTTTTTATATAGTGTAGCTGTAACTCATCTTGGGCATCATGGGGAGAATTGAGGAAGGAATTAACCTTTCAAAGTGCCTTTTCACATTAGTTCATCTAAAACATAGTTAATCTTAATCTAGCTAGTGGTACACAATGGGGGTTTGGCAATGCAAGTGACCAAATGAGGTGTGTATTAATTCATGTACTAGAGTGCCCCTGGAATTTATGGAATGGGAATCTTAATGGAGAGATGGAAATTTCGGTAGAGGTCCTCAGATCATTCTTTTAACCACTTTGCTACCAATCCCTCTGCCAAACCTGACTCACCTACTAGGAATTTAGGAGTGCCCAAATTCTGTTTGTGTACTATATGATGGTAGTCATTGTCGGGCTTCGTTATTCTCGTGCCCTTATTTCTGTTCAGTTTAGCTTTTAGAATTATGCAGATAGTTTACAAGAGTTTAATAAAGTATTGCACTGTGTTATGCATGTGTGTGCTTTGTCTCTAGTAACCACGCTATCCTCTTTTTGTTGGCCGATTGGCAAACATGCCTTCGGTTCTCCTGCTTTAATGCTTGCCCAGCTCCTAATACAGTGTGAGGAACAAATCAGGCACTTAGTACTCAAGCAGCGGATGCATTTGAAAAGAATGAAAGCTCAAGGGTTTATCTTGAAGAAGAAAATCTTCTAAGATTTAAAACATTACCCTTGTGCTTTTTTGACTTAATCTTTCGCACTCTTATCCTTCCAACTTAAGGTAATATTTTTAAACTAATGAGAACACTATTAAAGGTAGATAAAGCTTAAAGGAAAGACTATTTTGCTAATAGTTTTTCTTTTCCTTTTAATTTCTTTAAATAGGCTCCACACCCAGCGTGGAGTCCAACATGGGGCTTCAACTCACAATGCTGAGATCAAGACCTGAGCTTAATCAACTGAGCCACCCAGGCACGCCAGGTTTTCTAAAATAAAGACTATTAAATGAGTTTTTGACAAGCAACATATATTTGATTATTAACTAAGCCTCCATGTTCTCTTCTCTACCCTTGCATCATGAGGATTTAGCAGCATAGCGATATAATAATGGCAAACATAGTGTATTATCCAAGATCCACTTGTCCTAATAGTCACACTTTTCCTCTCTGAAATAGCCTGGGTTTTTAAAATCAGTTAATTGAATTTAATCTTTGAAACACATTGCTCAAAAAATACAGTCGAATCTTCTTCCTGCTACCTCGTACCGCACACTACAAATCTTTTCTAATGTGCATAGATGTTGGTAAATACAGTGAAGGGATGATGGTTAAAGGTCGTACATATTCACAGATGGAATGACAGAAGGCCTAGTAATTAATATGTACCCAGTTATATCAGAAATAAATGAGCCCACATCTTAAACCTTATAGCTACATAGTTAGTTTCTCTCTCCTTTCTCTTCTCTCCAACGTGGCTCCAAAGCAGCATTTCCTGGCAGATGGCTGCAGGGAGCTGGGGTCGCCCTGGTGTTCTCTGCCTCTGCAGTCTGCGCCTGACACCCGAGTCATGACCCTGCCACTCGGCTACACTCCACCTCTCTCTTACCTCACTTTTGGGGCATGCCTTCATGTTGTTTCTCTTAGTTCCAAATTATCCCCAACTTTCATACCATTTTTGTTCTCTTTTACCCATATTTTGATAGGCTGACGCGAGGATAATCAAAAGAAACATTTATTTACATTCTGTACACTTTGACTTAAACAAATTAGGAGGCTTCGTGGCCTCTAACTCCTACACATCTGTGTAATCATAATATATGCGGACTTCCGATCTTCTGACACTTTGCAGTGACCTGATGCTTTCGCTCCTGGTTCTGATATTTGATTTCTTGAATAGCCTTCTTGAGAATGACCTACACATGAAAAAGTAAATTATTGGATCCAGGCACACATTGCACGCAGATAAGAAAAGTGTCATTTCTTTGCAGTAATACAGAATTTTGTGTGCAGATTCATCTAAATGTCTGTCTAAGTGACTGAAAGTGAAAGGAATTCTGCACAAGTGATAGGGTAGAAAGCAGGTGAAGAACACTGCCACAACCACACGTATGCTCTGGTTATGTTTCCGCTTTCGGCTTGACTGGCTTATAAATTGCCTGCTGGATTTATGGATGTACCTGGATATGGCTATGTAACATCCAATCAGGATCACCAGCACAGCCACGAACAAGCAGCTGTTGACGTAAATGACGGCTTCGTGCCATTTGACTCCCAAGGGACTTTTAAGTTTCATGCAGTCATGAATATTTTCCTTGGTTAGTTGGCCATTTGTTAGAATGATGTTTGGCAAGGACAGAACAGCCATGATCACCCAAACACAAATAGATAAGACCTTCGTGAAAGTTATGCTGTACATGCGAGAGTCCCCAAATGGCTTTACCACCTTCAGATAGCGATCGATGCTTATGAGCCCAAGAAATACGATGGAAGTGTACATGTTTGCATAAAATAAAACTGAAGTGTATCTGCAGAGGATAAACTTGAAGTACCAAGGTCCAAATCCTGCATCATGCACTATTCGAAATGGAAATGTTAGCGTCATTATGAGGTCAGCAACCACTATGTTTTTGAGATAAAATATGAAGCTGGTTTTATTCCTAATGTGGAAGAAGATCCACACGGCTAGACCATTCAGCAAGATGCTTGCCACAAATATAATGAGGTAAAGCACAGGCAAGACGATAGTGTCAAATTCGTTGTTAACAGTTGTGTTCTTCCCGGGTCCATAGCTCATGTTACTTGGAGCGTGACTCCCTTGGCTGGGCAGCTCATTATCTGTAGGAGAAGTGGGGAGACATCATGTCAGAGCTTCACGTGTGTGCCACACAGACTGCTAGTCTCCCTTAATAGGCGACTGCTGTTTTGGGCAAATTAAAAAATGTCTTAGCAATTTAGATAGTTACTGTAGTGCATTTTTAATGTTTTGAGTGGCCAAAGTATTGGTGGCCTCTCTCCCAAGTCCTCATCTCATCCCCTTCCCCTAGACAGATACACACCGAGGTACCTTGAGTGTAAAATGTGGTATTTCTGGTTCTTTATGCCAGTCTTTTGAAAATGAAGATTAATATACCAATGACAATTACCCTGATTTTTAATTTAGTGTTTGATATCATTACAAATAGAAACAGTAAAATCTGGGGGCAGAAAATTGGATTTTCCTATAATGAAAATAAAAGGGCTAGCACTGGCTAGGGTTGTCTTTGGCACACTCCCTGAAATATCTTTTTAAAATCTCTCTCAGTTTTAAGCTATTTAATCATCAGTAATTGAGAAAGAGTAAAACTCCTGGGTGATTTTGAGGTTTTTGCCCATGGCAAAATGTAAGAGCCTTTAGGGACCATTGTTAGGAATAGAAATAAGAATAGGTAGTTGTTAATAGATAAGTTTATTATAATGGAGGATAACTTGTCTAATATAGTTCTAGGTTGATGCCTATTTTTATTTACAAGGCTACATTATACCTATTGCACTTAGATAAAATTTTAAACCTTTTACTTTCTTTTTTTTTGGAATTTTGTGTTTATGTGGCAACCATGCGAATGGGTCTTGTGCATCTCCTACTGAGGGGAGTGAGATCGACGGACAGCTGTAGCTTAGGGCTGAGTCCACCACCATTTTCTTGCTGATGGACGCTTCCCACAGGCTGCTCCAAGTCAGTAACTGAGCACAGGAAGGATACTAAGACAAGACTTTTCCAGGTACAGAAGAGTTTCCTCTGACAAATGACTTTGGCCAGAAGACTTGTCAGTCTGGTGAAAACTTCCTTCATGCTGTGCTGTAGTGTGAACCTTCCTACTCAACCTCCTTGCTCCCCTCTCTTGCATAGGGGTAGGACTTGCATTTCAGTCTGCAATCCCTTGCAAGCCTATCCCCCAATAATAAATCTCTTGGCCATCCAGTTATATTTTGTCACCTGCCTTTTTTTTTTTTTCTTTTAAACCTGGACTAACACTATTTTCAAATGAACTTTTTGGGTTGTAAGTTTAGAAAGAAGGTCATTACTGAATTTTTACTTCTCACTAATTAATCATGTTTACTGTAATGACAGTTACGTTTTGGAACAATATTGTTTTAGAGGTAACAATATTAATTTTGCCCTCATTTCCCTATATAACAGGCACTGTATTATATATTTTGGTTGCCTTCTTTGAAGAAATGAAACAGGGAAGATACTTTGATGATTATAATCCAAAAACAGGTTCTTAAATTGCTGCCTAAAATTTTAAGTGTAGGCTCTTCCCGAGTAACCTTGTACTCTTTCTAATTCTTTCCCTTTTATTCCCTGCTACAAGTGTTTTTTAAAAACTGGTTTTCCTGGCTGAAATATCTCACACAGGCTAGTAATTTATACCTGGACTAGCCTGTTAGGATGAGACCCATAGTATTATTAAACTTTATAAGTTTTAAATGCCTGATTCAGCTGCCATCTATATTATCCTTGCCAGTTTCAAATATTGTCTTGAACAGTATCATTTAAGCCTATTTTAACTTAATGAAGTGTTGGAAAATTGGCTGCTTCTGCCCCACAAGATCCCCATCAGCATCTATGTTATTAGAAGCTTTCTAAGATGTGCAGTTTTACCTGGGTTAAGAAAGTACTTAAATTAATTTCTTCAATTAAACTATTAGCAGACACTTTCATCTAACCCAGAATAGAACACTGTGGGAAATGGAGAGAGGACAAGTAAGTTTTAATCAGGATAAGTGGTCCAGCCAAGGGACACAGACTGAAAAGGGGCAGCCACATCATATCCTGATACGATGGCTGTGCTTTACAACAATTACGAATGGTTTTCAAAGCCATTATAAATAGAAATAGAATGGTTCGCAAACTGTAGCATGCTCGCCATGGAGTATTTCAACCCTAGTGTTGCCTCACTGGATCTACTGTGCATATCCACTGTGGAATGGAAAGACCCATACTTCCCAGGGTTGGTTAAGGATTGTGTGTCTGCTCAGTGTGTCATTATATTTTAAAGTTTGTATGAAGAAGCACTCTTATTAAATGATGATTTACTGATCAATTATGATTATTATAGATGGAGTCTTAAATCAGAATGTCAAAAATTATACTTCACGAATACTCTGTCTCATAAATGGCAAGTATCAAGCATGAGTGGCCTTATTCCACAGTGGTTACTGTGGTTTTGCGAATCTGGTGTTCAGCTTGTTGATTATGTCACCTCATAGTATTTGCTTCCTTAGTTTATGTATAGGATTAACATTTTGGAATACAGGACTTTTTAATTTAGTATGATAAGCCTGGGCTTGGTTATTTCTTCATTCACAAATGCCACATTTATAATGCAGCTTAAGCAAATTAGTGGTTAAACTTGTTATGGGTTATTTTATGAAATAATGTGGTAGAAGAGAGGGAAAAAATTGTTTGTAAGCAGGAAGAACCATCTGTGAGTTGCTCTGGAAGGCTCCAAACGTCATATAGAGAATTTTCTCTAATTGATTTTTTAAAGAATCAAGTCTATGTTATATTCTTCTATTATTCTCTTCTGTGTCATTGCCCCAATTTTTTTCCAAAGCTAGTGGGTGTGCTCAGAAGCATTTCTGTGGCCAGTATTCCTGCTCAGGAACAATGACCCTTAAAAGTATGCGGCTCTCTTCACCCAGGCCGTTTTATCATGTTGTTCTTCACTGTCAATAAAAAAAAAAAAAAAAAAAACTTGGCAAAGTTAGGGAAGGCTTTTAATGACAGGTAGCTTGGTGATTCAATTAAGAAAAATTAGAAGGTGTTTTTACAGTGTAAAGGCTATTTTCTCACACACTCCTTGTTTACTAGGACATTATTACCTGAATTATTTAGCTCAGAGCTTGATACAGAGTGATAATTGAGGGTGAAGATTTCTCTCCTGCTCTTCCTCCACCAACTCCTTTTAAATTAGATCAACAAACGCGATGACCTAAGAACTCTAGTTCTATAGTAAATTAACATTTGGTACCAGCCTGTGTGTGAGAGAGGTATTGTACTACGGGTGTTGAGGGTGTGGGATGGACTGCTGTGCTGATGTGTTGGAGAAATGCATGGGGTTTGTATTCATACATAGCATTAACCACATATGACTGCTGTACTGGGCAGGGCAGATAAAGGGCATTGGTGTCATTGCAGAAGGTCCTATTGGACCGTGCTGGTTTAGTCGCTTCGTAACCTTGTAAAAGGAAATAAACAGTAGCCATTTTGCTAGATCTCCCAAGAGGTAAATTCTCTGCAAACATTATTTCCAGGACAGTCTCTAGTACTTTTGTAGATGTTCACTCTGTAACTTAAGTCATTAATTACAATTTGTCTCAGTTGCAGCCACATTACAAATGATAGCGTGGTGAAGCATCTTGGTCCTTTTGCTTTTGGTGCAGCTGCATTATTGCTCATTGGGGCGTGTCCCTCTTTGGCACAAAATGTGAGAGTATCAACAATATGTCATTGCTCTGCCTGCCTGGCAGGAATGAAACACACAGGTCATGCAGATTACAGGGTGTCACTGCCATGGCACAGCTACATTTGTGTGGTCATTGTTGAAATAGTTACCAGGAGAGGAGGAAGATGTGGCCTTTGGCTTCCTGAGAAACCTCAGTGAACCTTAGTTTTTACACTGTTACCCCTGGAAAGTAATAGGTATTTTAGTTTGGGTATAAAAATCTTCCGCAGATGTCAATTTAATCTTTCTTGTCCCTTTTGAGATGGTCTGTAGATGAAACAAAGCTTAGAATTAAGCAATAGCAAGTTAAATTTCTCTCAGTGATGCTGATCTACCTGTTTGCTGTTTTATATTTAACAAAAGGCCAGGCTAAATGCTGATTTATTATGTTAATTGGTTAAGTAGCTGATAAAATCCCCAAGTTGTCATAAGGTATAAATAACAGTTATTGATCAAGGAAGATTTTTCTGTGCATTTTTTCCTGTGGCTTACCTGGTAATTTTGCAAGTGTCAGGTTGAGCCCCATTCTTTAGTTGTGATGGACTGTGAGCAAAAATACGTGTCAGGAAATACTCGGGGATGACTGAGGGGAGGGTTCGGCATAGGTTATTCCTGGCTTGAGTCCTGGGCCAAAAAAAAAGCGGGGGTGGGGTGGGGTGGGAATTAGGAAGGAATATGTAAACAGTAATTTGATCTTTCTTTTTTTCTTTCTTTCTTTTCTTTCTTTCTTTCTTTCTTTCTTTCTTTCTTTCTTTCTTTCTTTCTTTCTTTTCTTTTCTTTTCTCTTTCTTTCTCTTTCTTTCTTTTTCTTTCCCTCCCTTCCTTCCTTCCCTCCCTTCCCTCCGTCCCTCCCTCCCTCCCTTTATTTATTTTAGGTAGAGAGTGTGGGCAGGGAGAGGGGTGGAGGGAGGGGAAGAGATAGAATCTCATGCAGACTCCCCACTGAGCCTGACGTGGGGCTTGATCATGACCTGATTTGAAATCAAGTCAGACGCTCAACCGACCGAGCCACCCAGGTGCCCCAATCTTTTCTTTAAAAATATACGTATATGCTTTCACAGTTCAGAAAAGGCATACTCTTTGGATACAAACAGATGTGCCACAGGAAGAGTTGCATACTTTTGTGTCCTCTTTCAGCCTGCCATGGAGAAAGGGCCATTTCTGTGTATGCTGTCTATCTGAATGCCTGTGTATGGCCATGGGAAAGTTATTAATGTCTCTGTGATTCAGTGTCCTCATCTCTGAAATGACAATCATAATAATCATCTTACAAGATTGTAATAAGGATTATGTGAAATAGTCCAAAAGACAGTTATCAGAACCTAGTTCTAGGAATGCACTCAGGACATGGTAGCTTATATTTTCCCATCCCTGCTTCTACTGAATTCCTTCCCCCCCTTAACCTGAGCATATAATAAATGCATCTGTGATGGGACTTATGTGCAATTGGAAATTGTTAAAAAAATGCCTTTTAAAAAAAAAAATCTAGCACTGATATATGTAAGCATGTTTTATAAGCTCACATCCTTTTAGTATCCTATTCTTATAATCTCTGGGGTTCGGGACGCCTGGGTGGCTCAGTCGGTTAAGCGTCTGCCTTTGGCTCAGGTCATGATCTCAGGGTCCTGGGATCGAGTTCTGCGTCCAGCACCTTGGTCAGCAGGGAGCCTGCTTCTCCCTCTCCCTCTGTTCCCCCTGCTTGTACTCTCTCTGTCTCTGTCTCTCTCTCTCTGACAAATAAAGTCTTTAAAAAAAGTAATTATCTCTGGGGTTCTAGTTCTGGGTTTACACTAACCAGCTGTGTGACCTCTCTCAAGTCACCTGACCTTTCTGGAATTGCCCTAAGAACCTAGAAGATCACTGTTAGGACTCTAATTTATGTGAGCAAGCTTCTATGTTTTCCTCAAGCATAGATTTCCCTTAAGAATTTAATATCATTTGAATGTTTGTCTTGTAAGTCCCTGTATTTCTCTGTGAAAACTGCATTCCATCCAATCTCAAAGTGTGATTAGGAATGAGTAATTTAATTGGGTTTGAGTGATGGGCGTGTGATTTTGGCTAAATTCCTGAACCTTTCCAAGCTTCAGATTCCACACATTTTTATAAAGATTAACTGAGATCATATGTGCATGTATCATTGAATGCTGTAAAACATTTCCCCCACTTCTCCTTCAAGCAGCCCTGTCTATTCTGTGTTTCTGGCTTCTCTGAGGTGTTGATAAAAGAAGAAATCTTGAGAACTGTTTTGGCAAGTGTGCTGCTAAAGTCCAATGGTTTTATGGAATGAATGGTTTGCTATAGGGGAAGTCACACTATTGCTCACGAAACCATGTGAGACTCTAATGTCTCTTTACTGATGTTGCTCATAAACTGTACAGCTGCAGAGAGACCCCAAGTAACCTCATCTCCTTCAAGTACAATGCAGATTTCTGGCTGGTGTAAGCAGTTACATTGGCTGAGTCAACAGGGAAAGAGCACTTTGCAGGCAGAAGTATATTGAAGAATTTGGCAGCAAATGGAGAGGCACTTGTTTCTTTATCTTTTACTTTGCCCTTCTTTTCTTTTTTTTTTTAAAGATTTTATTTATTTATTTGACAGAGAGAGACACAGCGAGAAAC